TAAACCGGCCTGCCCTTTTTCGCAATTTAAAAACTCTATCTTTGCCATCACCTGGCGCATTACCCCGAAGAGCTAAGCAATAATTCAAAAAAGGCAAAAGGTATGCAATTGTTGAGATGTGAGTTATACACCTTTAGAACCCGAATAAATCAAGGAAACAACAAAAACTAAATTTTAACAAAATTTAATAAACAAAACAAAAGTAAATTTTTACAACAAACGCAAATAAAAACAAACGAAATGAAATGTCCATCTGCAGTCCGTCCTGGGAAGTGTCCTGGAAAGTGTGGTTAACTGATCACAGTACAAAATGTACCTCTGATTAACATTTTCAGAATTTTTTTTCTGTAGAATTTCCTCTCACGTATTTTCACAAATAAAATTGAATATACATTCACAAATAACACATAATTCACTATTAATGCAGTCGTTTCTATATTAAAAGCAGCAAAGAACTTATTTTACTCATCTTGTATTTTCAACCGAAATGCATTAGCTAACACCCCCGTTAAAGGATGACTGCACTTAACGCCTGTTTTCGGGTCTTTTTCGGTTGCTTCTGTTGCTATTATATCTAAACCTTATTTCACTTTTGTATGTTTATGAAAGAATCCTGTCAGTTTGGAACCAAATTTAAATCTTAAAATGATTTTAGACTGTGATACAATAAAATGATTCAATGTTTTTTTTCCTTACTGCTTTCCAAATATAGAGCATTTACACTTATCTGCCCTTGATTAAACATTAGATATGCATGAGAGGTGGAGCTAACATTGTAAGAATGGGTTTAAAATTAGACTTGATGTGTTTGGAAAAAAGAACGTGATTACTCTTTCTAATCTCCCTTTCGTTCTCTATGGCACAAATACACTTCTGACAAAGGTTTCAAAACGAAATTAACAATATGAGCACGTCATGTAATTAAAGCAGATTTTATATCAATGCCAGATGACTTAACGTGTTCGAACACTGTCATAAAACACAGTCTTTGTTGAAATTCAATTCTTTATCCATAGTTAGATTTGACAAAAATCATAGTGAAACGCAAACATGATCAGTTTAGCGAGGCCAAGAAAAGAAAAATCAGCTTACAGGGGGCGATTAAGAACGATATTGCTTTTCCTAAGATTATCATCATTGACGGCTACTAGGTCATTTTTTTATGTTGAAATATTATCCCTGGAAATGTATTTAGCTCATATCTCACATTTGTTAACTGTCTAGCTAATTGTGCAAGATTAATAACACAATTCATGTCTCCTTTGTAAACAACGTTTGTCAGTTCATCTTTCAAATACAGCAATAGACTCAGTGTGTCAATTACTTATATATCCTAAATGAAATTACACAACAACAACCGATAAACATACATTGTCATTTTGTTTACATGTTTATTAAAAGTGTATACAAAATAATCTTTCCACGGGATTCAATTATATGCAAATATATTTCATAGTATTTGGATTGTCACAAACAGTTTGATTCATTCTGTTACTCTAGTGGATTGCAAATTGGGGCAAGACAGCATGCCTAGTGGATTCAAATGATTTTTTTTTTTTTTTTTTTTTTTTTTTTTTTTTTTTGCTCAGATGGTCTCTAGAATTGCCTGATTTTTACGCAAGGATAGTCTTTTTAATGATGCAGAAATATTGGCTCCAATGAAAATCTAGGTTGTCTTTATTACCTCTTGCCCTGTCAATCATGTCTATTGTATTCATGAGAGTTTTAAACAACTTCAAGATTATTCCTTTTTTGGTTGGAAAAACTTAATTTGGTGTGTACACAATCCCATTCCCTTATATCTATCCCTTTTTCTTTATTTTTCAGCGTACAGACCTGCACATATCTATGTTTTCCAAGTTCTAGTTTGGTAGGAGGAATCATGTTACTCGTTCGAAGGTATCTAATGAAATGAAGTTAATCTTTGATTTAAAATATATTATATTCAAGTTACTCTTTCAATAAAGAAATAAAAGATGTTTAAATCGGACCACTGTCTTGTCTGTCATTTCTCGGGTTTTCATTGGTGCACAAAAATCTCACCACAATACCTAAACATACGTAACATTTGCTAACACCAAGCAAAATAAATCCACTTTTCCTTTTATTGCATAATCACTTGCATCACTTGGGTAAACGTAACGTTTTGTAAGATGAGTCCTGTTAAACAGTTTTACAAAAAAGATACAAAACTTGAAAACAAAACTAGCTTCTTATACTTTAATGTTAAATACTAAAATCTGATTGGCTTAGACGCATTTAACAATCCGTTATGTTACCCTCCGCGTTATCAACACACTTGGCAACGGGTAACACAACGAAAATTGTCACATGCGTGTAAATCATGCGCGTAGACTTCTCAAAACGTCAGTTATGCGTTTGAGAGAAGCTAAATAAACTTGACGTTAATCAAACTTGCTTCCGATTTGGCTTAATTGTAAACAACAAACGACAGACGAAAAATGCTTTTGAGTGTGCAGAAATAATGATACTTTATATGATAAAGGACTCTTTGAGTATCAAACAAGCAATAAGAGGTCGGTAAATCTTTTTCGAACTTTTTTATTGAAAAAACAGAAGCGAGGAGTTTGAAAGCTTTCTAAATGTGAACTTAACGACGATCAAGAAATTTTTTGTCGCTGACGAGTCGTTGACAACAGTTTTCCTTGGGGTATCAATTTTGATTGTTACCCTCCAAAACAGTCACCATTTATATAATATCACATCTTTAACGAATGAATTCGTTTCTCACCACATGTACATGTACTTGACCCTCATATTTCGAAACAAATTCTTTTATCATGAGATGATATCTGAACCAATTTAATTCATCCTGATAAACCACATCCAATTTTATATTGGAAAGCTACGCTCATATAGTCTTCTTTCGATACTAGTACTTCATTTAGACATTGATTAAACCAGAATTCTCGTTCACGTGGTAGCTCCACATAAGATGGTATTTCGCGGTATTGTGCTGTACATCCCATATCCCACTGACTCAGAAAACACACTTCATCTGGTGATTGACCTTTGGGTGAGCGCAGAATCTTTACAGTTCCAGGGGTCCCTCGGTCCTCGGGAATAGCAAGGTTGTGCCCTCCTACTCCTCTTCGCGTTTTGTAAATATCTGCCCATGGAGCTATGTACTTAGAAAGTCCGTGAAAACGAATAGCTAAACAGTGTACTTGGTGTATAATTCGTTTGTTATAAAGCTCTCATTCCCACTTCTCTGTGTCTCTTTTTATTTCTTCTCTAAGGTTTACTAAATGACTAGGTTCTTAAGCAAATAAAGGTTTCACTTTCAGCATGATTGCCATCTTTCAAGGTCTGGTACCGTTATAAAACTTGTGTATTGACTCAAAATCAGGCCACATGTTTAAATTTCCTCGTCTCATTTGTAAGTTCTGAACATAAACGAAACCGTTTTTATCACAAAATACTTTATGAAACAACCAGTAAATGACTATATACTTCTAATTGCAATAATTAATTGACTCACTTTCGGATCTTAATACATTATTGACGGAGTCTCTAAGTATCAACCCGTCATTACATCAAAAGAAATAACACAATATATTCATAGTTCTGATTATTTGTGTAATATAATAATAATCATCCGGGTTTGCCTCCCAAATCGTTGTAATCGTTGTAATTATTAGCATCCGTTTTGCTTTGTACTTCCGTCTTTGAAGCCCACTTCTCCACCTCAAATCAGCTTGCATTTCAAATTAGCATAAAAACAATCACTTTCTACCACTGATATGTTCAGACAATTTCTTTGAATAGATTTTAAAAATCTTCGGTCTACCGACATTCGTTTCTTTGGACTTGAGACTATGATAATTAGTTAACTTTTCTGCGCGTTGTACAACAAGGAGGAAGAAATAAAAAAATATTTACGTCTTGGGGCAGACGAATTTTCTTTTTCTCTCCATGAAAGTACTATATTTTTAGTTCTGAAATCTTTAATTTTCTGAAACTTTTAAAAATTGAACAGAATTTGCACGTGTCATACAAAAATTGTATGTTTGTCAATTATCCTGTTCTTGCGTTACGGTGTCTCTTTAAAAAATGTCCTAATGTGGTTACAATTGTCTGAATCATTACCTTTTGTGCCAAACGTAGATGCATTAAGACTATCAAATTCTAGTATTGGGTAAATACAAAAAAGGAAAACATATTGTGGTTCAAATTAAATTTGCATTGTAACACACCGGGGATCGGGAAATCCCATGGTCCTTTTGTTAAACACAAAAATGTATCTCCAATATATCATCAGTTTTCCTTCCTCATTGCGCCCTACATATAATGTAATATTTGCTTTGCATCAAAATGTAAAGTCTTTGCTTATAAGATATACAGGCATAGAGTAGATCATTAATTTTTTTAAGAAAAAAAAGGTTTTCGTTTGAAGGGGTTGTAACCTTGAAATAAAAATTAATTCAAAATCTAGATGAAACTGGTTTAGGAGTTTCAAAGAAACTTTATTTGTTCAAGGGGTATAGACAATATATTACAGATTCAAGTAACCCCGAAATATTCTTGTTCTCAAGCACTAGGTCATGAATGATGAAACTGATACATAGAACCGTCCCTTATACTTAATGTTGCTTTCAATGGCTTCAAGAGTCGAGTACGACTACAATATGGATTCAATATTCTATTGTCTATGCATGTATCACGGAATCAGATAGAAGTTATTACATGTATATGTTATAAATGTCAATATCCATGAGTTTTAAAACCAATGTTATGACTGAGAAAAAGATAGGTTACTTTATTGTATAAAGTGAATATATGTAGTTCGATTTTTATATATAAAGAATTTGAGGAAGTATATTTTCCCGTCCTTATTAATGACATAAATCTGCTTCATCTATGAGCTAAATTTCGAAAATGCAATTTTCAATTGACAGCATTTCATGAATTTACTAGCAATTGCCTTTTGAAGACTTTCCATGGAAGGGTGTCGAAACTAATTCAATAGTATTATTTCAATGGCGTCCAAAAATATTTTGCAACTGATAGAAAAGGAAGTATGGAAAAAAGTACCCCAGGGAACATGGAATAACGACGATATCGATTTAAGAGAGGATGGTAACGAGGAAACATATTTTGAGAATTCATTTACTGAAGTGAAAAATCATGGACCTACAAATGATGATCCTACATCAAAGGCCCCGAATAGGAATGTTGATTTTGACTCTTCAGAAAAAAGTTCAGTTAAAAACATATTAGAATATGTTGTTTTTGTCCCTTGGGAGGAGTTAAGTAAAGAAACACCAGGAAACACCAAGGACGGTCCTTCTAGGCTTCAGTGCTCACCTTCCTCAGAGCCAAACAAAGAAATAGAAAAAAGTAAAGAAAGTTCAGCCGACGAGGACAACGAAAAAAACATTGATGAAGTTGACTACTTTGATAGTGACGAGGAATATATGGAGACTCATGGGCTAAGATACGACGAGAAAGACATTTTAGATCCATTACAAGAGGATTCCTCTGAACCTTTAAGAAGCAGATATAGTCAGTTTTTAATTTTTTTAATGTTTGTTAACGTCGCCCGCGTGGCGCAGTGGTAGAGCGTCTGCTCTAGAGTCGCGGAGTAAGGATTTGATCCTTACGTCGCGGGTTCGAATCCCACTGTGGGACGTAGAGACCGGTCCTTTGGAAGAGACCGTATAGATCCCTCACTGCTCAATGGCCCTGAGTGCCGAGTATAGGTCAAAATTTGCAGCTTTCAACCGGCAAGTGGTGGCGTCTCCATATGAGTGAAAAATTCTCGAGAGGGACGTTAAACAATACACAAACAAACAAACAATGTTTGTTAACAGTACCGAAAAACATTATTTTTATACCAGAGTACATTATCATAAGACTCATTCTTATAATTCATGGTTAAGAAATACACAAAGGTTCCGATTTTTCTAAATATACCACTAGCATAGATATCATAATTAATATGATTTAATTTGTTGTAGGTAAAGGAGTGGAACAATATAGAAACATACCTGTTTACAGAAGATCAATACAAATTTTTGCAAGAGACAATGAGTTTGAAATTTATGATGTCATTCCTGATGGTAATTGTATGTTTCGAGCTATTGCTGACCAGTTCATGATAAATGGTCGAATTGGGTATTCAGCTGAACGTTTACGATGTACAGCAATAGAGTGAGTAGTTTGTTGTTTAAAGGATAAAAAACGTAATTTTGCACTTTGGCGAAATGTTTGCTCTATTTTTCTATTTTTCATTATTGTCGACTTTCCCGACTACCCATTCTAATAGAATTACTAAATGATATTGATAGGATTTAACCTCTGTCCAGTTGAAATTTTTGTCATTTTTTTTTTTAGATATTTAAGAAAGCATCCTTACAAAGAAGATGGCAATCATATCCAATCCTTTCTTTGTACCGAGTCTTGGGAAGATTATCTCTCCAGAATGTCCACATCGAGTGAGTGGAGTGATCACATAGTTCTCCAGGCTGTGGTTGATGCCTATAACTTAGAGGTCGTTATCTTCAATGTCTTTCAGGACGACATTAGGAGAACTGAGGTTCACCCAGAAAATAGAAGAAATCGAAAACAAATGCTGATTTTTCTAGGACATTTGGGAGAATTTCATTACTTGAGTTTGCGCCCAGCTCATTGGACATCAACGTGGCCTTACAGTGAGTATATATATTTTTTCTAGTTCAAATTGAACCTATTCTTCTTCCATATGAGTACAGGGCACTTTTGAGAAGACTGTTTCCCTTATATTCTGCTGCATAAATAAAAACAATTTTACATTGATTCTGATTTTTCAAACTATGCTTAATTTTTTTTTCATTTATACATAAAGATTTTGAGTTAATCTTCCTTTAAATGTTTTTTAAAATGCCTTAATTACAGGGTCCGCTTTATATAGACTTTTGGCGTGTTCTTATAAAATGTCTCCCGCTGCAAGGCAAGAACTGATACAGAATAAAATCATAGAAATGGGAGCCAGTGATATGGTGAATCAAGAATTCTTAGACATGGTTCACATTCTACCTGAAGGGCGTGAAAAACTAACCGATCCGGAAAAATCATCAAAGAAAAAACATGCACATTCATCAGAAAGTCATGGAGAAAAATCTATGTTAGCTTTTGACACGTTCTGTTTCAAAGATCTACAACTTCAAGAATCGGAAGGTAAGATTGAAATTAAAACTAGTAAACTAATTGTGAATAATTAGAGACCTTTCAACTTCCTGAGTGTTTCCATACCATTTCGGTTGAAAAAAGGAAAGAAATGCAAGGAATTAAACAAAGCACAAAAATGCTGATTTATCATTGGGCCCTGTCGTCTTCTTTGTTCTTTATACAAGGTATTGTGTAGTAGAAAAGATTGGAAAATACTAGTATGACTGGTGCATAGTAAAAATATTGATTTTTGATAAACCTCTTATTTGAGTTGTTTGATGTTTTGAATGAATTAAGATAGTCAGTTTAGAGCCAATGAAATTCATTAGAACTGAAGTGTTAAAGGACGTAGACACAGATTTGAAGTTAATATTCTCTCAAATTTTCTGTATAATATCGGGATTTATATGCTCCTATAGCATTTCACACGGAAATATAATTTAAAAAAAATTATTTTATCTGGAAATTAATGAAACTACGAATTTCGGGACGTGTTTGATTGACACATCCTTGCACTTTCACAAAGTAAACTTTATTCTTAGTGCTTAAGAAAAGTAGAGATTTTATTGTGTGTTAATGAAAAAAATTAAAGATATAATCCAGAAAACTAAGAGTAGATATGTGAGAAAGCAAAACCAACTCACCAGTATTGTCAGTCCGTGCTCAGTGACATGTGCAGAGTTTAACTAATTGAACACACCTGGTGAAACGTTAACTGTTTTGTAAACAGGGCATGAGCTCTGTTATTGTTAATGTTTACTTAAACTTAAATTCCAAACATGCATTTTAGGAAGTAGATGGCGTCAATGAAAGTGTGAAAATGTATCTAATATGGAAAATGGCTATATCTCAAAATTGATTGATTCCAAATAAAATTGAAATAAATTTCACAAGTAAAAGAAAAAATAATTGATTGATTTGTATATTGTTTTACGTCCCGTTTGAGATTTGTTCACTCATATAGAGACGTCACCATATACCGGTGAAGGCTTCAAATTTAGACCCTTACTCGGCACTCAGGACCATTGACCATTGAGCAGTGAGGGTTCTTTATCCTGTCAACGACTACCGTGACACAAGGCCGCGGTTTTTAAGGTCTCATCAGAAAGACCCGCAACTTTCCCTTCAAAGTGCCGAGCGCTTAGCGAAGTAACAGTTGCTACCTATTTTTTATCGAAATAAATCAGTAGCTGCCGTGATTCGAACACACGATCTTCCGATCACGGATAAAAGAAAGGAAGAATGCTTGGTATTAAAATATCCTATCCTATCAGGAGAATTGATTGCTATTTAAACAAAAAGCCCATGGGCCACATCGCTCACCTGAGCACTGTGGCTAGGAAAAAAGGAAAAATCAGTACAGCATTGAAAAGCTTAAGTGGTCCCAACCTACCCCGAAAAGGGGGGATGATTTGAATAAAGTTGAATCTACACTAACGAAGTATGTTTACATATTTTTTTTGACTAACTGTGGTTCTTTATCCTATCAGTTTGAACTTTGATTGTGGTCCCACCTTATACCCCGGGATCATGATTTGAACAAATTTGAATCTACACCACTTGAGGATGCTTCCCTATAATAAGACCAATCATGGCTTTGCTGTTCTTGAGAGGAAGATTTTTTTAAACAAAATTCCTATGTATTCATATTTTAACTTTGCTCCAATCTACCCTACAGGGTCATGATTTGAACATAATTAAATCTACACTACCTGAGGATACTTCCAAATAGATAATAAGCAATCATAACTTTGTTGTTCTTGTGAAGAAGATTTTTCCTATATATTCTTATGTAAAATTGTGATCGTCCATTGTGGCCCCACCCTACCCCGGAGGTCCTGATTTGAACAAATTTGAATCTACACTATCTGAGGATGCTTCCATATAAACCTGACCAATTATGGCTTTACTGTTCTTAAGGGATTTTTAAAGTTTGTTTCCTATATGATCCTATATAAAACTTTGATCGTCCGTTGTTACCTCACCCTACCCCCGGGGGTCATGATTTGAACAAACTTGAATCTAAACTACCGGAGGATGCGTCGATAAAGATGTGATCAATCATGACATTGTTGTTCTTGAGAAGAAAATTTTTACAATATGTTCCTTGATAAAACTTTGATCGTGTATTGTGTCCCCACCCTTCCCCCGGAGGTCATGATTTGAACAAACTTGAATTCAAACTATTTGAGGATGCTTCCATAAAGATATGATCAATCATGACATTGTCGTCCTTGAGAAGAGGATTTTTTTTAAAAAAAAGTCCTACATATTTCTATATAGAAATTTGATCGTCCATTGTGGCCCCATCCTATCCCCGGGGGTCATGATTTTATCAAATTTCAATCTAAAATACCTGAGGATGTTTTCATATAAATATGACCAATCATGACTTTGCTGTTCTGAAGAAGAAGATTTTGAAAGATTTTCCTATCTATTCTTATGTAAAATTGTTATCGTCCATTGTGGCCCCACTCTACCCCCAGAGGTCATGATTTCAACAAATTTGAATCTACAATACCTGTGGATGATTCCAAATGAGTTTCATCTTTCCTGGCCCAGTGGTTCTTGAGATTTTTAAAAGATCCTATTAATTTTTCCGTAATTTGTAATTATCTCCCCTTGGAAGAGGACTCGGTCCTTTATTTGAACAAATCCTCTTCTTTCAAGGATACTTTTTTGCAAGTTTGGTTGAAATTGCTCCAGTTGTTCTTGAGAAGAAGTCGAAGATTTAAAAAGTTTATAGACAGACCAACAGACGGACAGACAGGCGGAGGCCATGTAGGACAAAATGTGATCAGAAAAGCTTATTTGAGTCTTCGGCTCAGGTGAGCTAAAAATCTGAAGAAATAGCCGATAAAAAGGTTTATTTCATTTCTATGTTACCGTTCACGGTTGCTCAGTCGGTAGAGCGCTCGCTTCGTGATCGGGAGGTCGTAGGTTCGAATCTCAGCCACGACTTACCCAAGTCTTTTTTTTTCCAATTTATTAATCATTATGCAAACCCATTTACAATTTCTAGCTATCCCGGGTCAGGATAGTTAGTATAACATAGATAACAGAGCAACAAATATTTACTATAGCATTTCTACAAATGACACTATCTTATTTTTAAACATATGAGTTTTCGTTAACTTCATTAATAAGCCCATATTGTTTTTAATATTATTTTTTACATAAGAAAGTAACATATCATTTGTTTCAGTTTAGTTCTGACATCTACAAAACATTTTAAATTTATATATCTTATATGCGAGGAAAGACACAAAGGTATTTAAAAATTGTATTTTGGAATTCTGTTCAGAATAAAACCCTAAGATGACATGTTTCCACTGTACATCAAAATTTAACACAGAACTCAGATTTTTCCATAATATTTGAACATGTACACAATCAAAAAGTAAATGTCTAATATCTTCAATTTTATCACACATATTACAAAAAGCAGATGTTTTGTATTTGCATTTAAAAAGAAAACTGTTAGAACACAATGTATTATTTAACAGTTTGTAATTAAATTCACATATTCTTTTGTGATAAATGTCTTTTACTTTGTTTCTATATATAAACTTCCAGCTCTCTTTATCAACAGAAAATAATTTTTTAAACATTAATTGATAACTTGGAGCTTTAAATTTCTTAAAGAGTAGATTATCGTAGAAAAAATTACATTTTTTATCTTCAGTACAATACACACCATTGATAAAATTAGAATAACACTTTCCTATAGTCTGTATGTATGAACAACAAGTCATATTAAGTTTTAAAGCTTTTTTATAGATTGCCGTTTTTAATATTTTATATTCACACATCCAATTCGATTTTTGTTTCAGATCAAAGGACAATTCTTGTAGAGTTTTAAATTGTCCATTTTTGTTAAATAAGTCTTTAACATGTGTTATCCCACTTTGGATCCAATTTTTAAAACATATTGTTTTGTTTTCATATTTAAACATATTATTATTCCATATTGGTTGCTGAGCAAAACTTACATTAGATAATTTAGTTTCATCGATATATCTTTTACATTCATTAAAACTACAGAATACTTCTTTATAAAAAATCGGGAGGTTTGAAATGATTTTAAAGTCTGAGGGTTTTGTCTCCGATAAAGTTAAAATATAATTGATATTGACATTAAGACGATTTAAATAGCCTTCTACTATTTCGCTTAGTATACAATTTTTATCTATTAAAAATCTAGTCCATGCCGCCTTTAAAGCCTTAAATTTCAATTCAATATCTATCACGCCTATTCCACCATCTTCCTGTTTTCCGATCACAGTATCTCTTGTAATTCTACCGCGTTTATTCCATATGAAGTTAAATATGCTGCTTTTAGTTTGTTGAATATGTTCGGGATAGGGCATTGGTAATATTGAACCCATATAAATAAGTTGTGACGTAGCTAATGAATTAATGACACATGATTTCCCGAAAATAGTCAATTTTCTTTTTTTCCAAGATTCAAAGAGTTTTTCCATATTTTGAAAAGTTTTTAACCAATTCAATTCATAACATTGAATTTTATTATGGCCAATGTGTATACCTAAACATCGAACAGCATCATTAGTTACCTGTATGCCTCCTACATTGGTGTATTTATCTTTAAGACTACCTAGTAATATACATTGTGTTTTGCTTAAATTAATTTTTGAGCCAGCGTGTTTACAAAATTCATTAACAGTCGTTACTGCAACATTTAAAGAAGATATATCTTTTAAAGCCAGTGTTACATCGTCTGCATGCTGAATATTTTTAATATCTCTTTTCATGTTTGATAAATTAATACCTTGTATTTCATTGTTATTTTTAATTTTAAGGGCCAATATTTCTGCCACAAATAGATACAATAGAGCTGAAATAGGGCATCCTTGTCTAATACCTCTATTCATGCTACAAGTTTTAGAGATCAAACCATTGTTTTTAATTCTGAATATTGGTTTATTGTATAGAATTTTAATCCATTGAAGAAAATTATCACCAAAGTTAAATTTTTTCAGAACTTG